CCGGAATAGAAAACTTCAACAGTTCTAAAGAAATCTTACTAAGAACTCAGCTTCCTTTCCAACTGCTCCTTATCCCTTAGGACAACTAACAGGAATCATCATAATCATACCACCAATTCAGGGATGCTGTCTAGAGAGTTTACACAGTATTAATTGCAGTATATGGAAAATAAAAGACTAGCTAAATCTGAATAAGAATAATTTTGTAGAACGAAATTATTACTCTCTTACTAAGAATCTAAATCCAGGTTTCAAACAGCCCTATGAGGCCACCAGGGAAGACTAGTCTGTTCACTTCCCTTTTTAGATTTAGTAGGAAACACAAAAACCTGACTTACTTCAAATGTTGTCCCAAGCCAAATGCTATTCTGAAGTAGATAACTGCTCAATAAAGGCCGCTGATAATGGACGCATACTCCTAATCTGGTCTATCTCATATTAGGACTGAGGGCTCAGACCCATTTATGCCTGCATTTTATTTAAAACCAGAGCTCTATTTGAAATTTGAGGCAAGGTATGTCTTACACCCGTGTTACCCTTGGCTGCCACCCAACTCCAGGTCCCTCTTGTTACTGGTCCTCCTCAGCGCTATCACGTCCCTATACGTTCCACGCCTCTTTCCTCCTGATTCCACTTCCCATCTCTCCTTTCCCCTGCCTGGAAGCTTTCTACTGTGTCCTCTGTATTCCAGGTTCCGTGCTGAGTCAAGCTTCTACCCTGTCTTTTTCTTCATAAATGAGAGCTGGCTTTCCTCCCAGAACACCGCTGCCCTTACAGCGCCCCCAGGTGGAGGCTGCTCTTCTCTCAAATCCCATAGCTGAGGCCTGAGGACCATGTTTTCCTCCTTTTCTTTTTCTTTTACCAGTGTCCACTGAGCTCTTTCAGGTGCTGGGGATACAGCAGTAAGCAAAATCTCTGCCCATCAGAAAGCTTGTATGCTAGTGGGTAGACAGATGTACGTATAATACAAAATATGCTGCCAAAAGTACTCTGAAGAAAAAGATGGTCTGGGGAAGACACAGGGAAGAAGGGAAGGAGGGTTGGCTACCGGTTAAAAAAAAACACACAGCTTCTCCACCTCATTCATATGACAATACTTAGCCTTTTTTCTTGAAGCTCCGGTCATCTGTCTATTTTGCCCTTAACTGCTTAGTAACTGCATCCAAATTTTCTCCATACAAATCCTAACATCACTGTTAAGGGCTGAATGTTTGTGTCCCCTACCCCCAAATTCCCATGTTAAAAACCTAACCCCCAAGGAGATGGGGCCTTTGGGAGGTGATTAGGTCATGAGGACAGAGAGCCCTGGTGAATGGGATCAGTGTCTTATAAAAGAAGCCCCCGAGAGATCCCTAGTCCCTTCTGCCATAGAAAGATATAATGAGAAGTCTGCTACCTGAGAGAGGGCCTTCACCAGGACCCAGCCATGCGGGACCCTGATCTCAGACTCCCAGCCTCCAGACGGTGAGAAATAAATTTGTTTATAAGCTGCCCAGTCTGTGGTATTGTTATAGCCGCCTGAACAGACAAAAAAAATCTCTCAGAGCATCTTCAATGTCCATAGAGATGAGCTCATTTAGCCCCTAACTTTCTATTTCCTTGACTTCATCGACTCCAGCGACCCTCATATTTATACTGTTGCCACTCGGCAGGCACATCCTGGATCATGTCCCTATATGTGGAACGCCCTACTTCTGATGTCAAATAATCCACTTTATGACCACACCCATCCATCCTTCTAGCTTTCTGACTCTCTCACCCCATTCTACTTGTTCTACAACTTCATTAGGCCCTCTAGAACCTCAGCTACTTCCTTTTCTTCCAAACCTAGCCACCTTTGTCTTTACTTCCTTCTCTAATCTCAGTGGTCTATTATTTTAGTCACTCTCCTGCCCTGAATCTCTCTGGCTCCTGCCTCCTTACACTTCTGCAGCACTTGCCCAGTTAAATGGAAACAATTCACTGGTTGTCTGGCTTTCACCCTGTGACTACTGTACCGCAAGGCCACCACCTAGTGGGCAGAGGAGAAAATATGTCATACAATTTTGTAGCCCCAAAATTTTGGGTTTATCACCCTATGACCAATGAAAAATGTCATGCAAATTTGCTCATGCCAGAATCTTCAGGAAATCCACTTGGACCAGAAATAAATTCAATCGGCTCTGCCACTGTAGTCCCTTTTGAAGATCTGTATTAGCAGATACATGTGGAAAAATTAATGTGTCTAATGTAAGCAGACAGGCCGGACCATTGGCCTAAAAATAGGGGAACACACTAATTTAAATGACAGCAAAGCTGAAAATTATGGTCCACATCTGAACCAAGGTTTA